GCGAAATTTGGAAAAATGTGGTGAAAAAGTAAATTTAAATTATTTATGACTAATTAAATATATTATTTTAATAATCTGAATTCGTTTCTTATTTTAGCATATGGGCATTTGGCCCCAAGCGTGTTGGACCTAACCTATTAATAAATAATGTCCATAATTATACTCGGAAATCGTATCCTACATTATCTTGCATTATGCTTATGCAATTTTTGAATTTGATTCATGTTAATAATTGATATTATCCTTAATTAAGTTCCTGAACAGATGGCAAAAATATTTTAGTGATACTAAAATGTCTGGATTATTGTCATCTGATATCAATGAAGTTAATCTAGAATTTATAGAAGAACATACATCGCTTGAATTATCTATTCGTGACTTTGAAGAGGGTATTCACACAGGTTTTCAGCTCGCAACTAAAGCAGGGCCTCTTTGTTCTGAACCATTAATGGGAGTGGCATATTTCTTGGAAGATTTTACAATATCCATAGATGAAAATGTTGATATATCTGAGAGTTAGTAATCGGTTTATTTTTCGGCTTGTTATTCGATGAAAAAAAAATACCAATTTCTTCTTTTTTTAGTCCGACCGAAATTAGGTGGATATGTTATAACAACAATGAGAGATGCTTGCCTTCAAGGATTTCTTGATTTGTCTCCTAGATTGATGCTTGCCATGTATTCTTGTGATATTCAAGCGACAAGTTGAGTGAAGTGAAATACCATTTTCAATTATGCATAATAAAATTTCAGTACTAATATTAAATATTGGAAATTCAGCTGAAGCTTTAGGTCGTGTATATGCAGTTATATCTAGACGTAGAGGTCGCATTATATCAGAAGAACTAAAAGAAGGAACTTCGTTTTTCCAAATTTCTGCATTGCTTCCAGTTGTTGAAAGTTTTGGATTTGCTGACGGTTTGTACACATACATTTCTTCATTTATCCATCATTATGCAATATTCTAATATCCTTTTATCCTTTATAGAGATCAGGAAACGAACTTCTGGTGCAGCTATCCCACAATTAATTTTCAGCGGGTAAATAAAACTGAAACTTCAAATTTATATATTTACCTATTTATTCGGCTCATAATAACTTTATTGTATAGGTTTGAAATGTTAGATGAAGATCCTTTTTGGGTACCAACAACCGAGGAAGAGCTTGAAGATTTAGGAGAAAAATCAGATAGAGAGAATCTTGCAAAAAAATATATGGAAAATGTGAGGAAACGCAAGGTACTATTTTAAAGATCTTGAATCGTAATTACATTGTTTTGTGGTACAAAGAACTAATATTATTATTTGAATTTTTAGGGAATGTTTACGGACAAGAAGATTGTTGAGCACGCAGAAAAACAACGCACACTTAAGAAGAAA